CAAAAAAAAAAAATAACTTGATCGACGCCCATGATGCAACTGATATACATTTGTGATTTGGTTCAATCTCCATGGTCCACTGGGGTCCCCTTCTGAAGCTACCCAGATAAAGAGAAGAAGAAAGAAGGGGCATTCTCAGAAGAAATTAGCATTATCAAGATGGAAGGTGAATAGACATATTCTTTCTCCTAAACTCAGATCATTCTGGATATTGTTTTTAAAAAAAAAAAAAAAAAATTTGTTCGGTTTATGTTGGTTCGATTTGTCTGTAATTCCCTTCTCTCGCGTTGAAATGTACGTTTGATTTGAAGTTAGGTTGGCCTTTGATAGTTGTCTTGTTTTGCAATTGGTTTTTGTTTGCATGTGTGAATTAGTAAGGAAAAGGAAGCATTTGGGATTATCTTTGGTCTGATTTATTTATTTTGTTTTGGGTGGAGGAGAGTGGAGGAGGAGATCTGCTGCAAAAACTGGGGAAAATCCTCTGCAGTTGGAATTTAAAGTACTTTATCTGAAAAGAATATGAAGGGTTTCTGAGGAGTGAGGTGCAAGGGCCCAAATATGAAAAATAGAAAGAGTTGTGGTTGAATTCTTCTCTTTTTATTTATTTAATTGTTAAATATTATTATCCTACATTGTCTTAAAAAAAATTTGGTTCTTGCTCTCTTTTTTGGTTTTTGATTTTGTGCTTTTATGGGTGGCAACAAGGATGGTGTTTCAGTTTGAGATTGCTGAGTCACAGGTTTTCTTGTCTCTCATTGTTATCTGGAAGTTTATAGAGTGGGATTATTAAGCATTGGTTGGATGAATGTTGCTTATATAGTCAATATATAGATCAGTATCAACAGTGTTCTTAGATTTTGTAGGCTGAATTATGTGCTGTTTCCATGGTGAACTACTGTAATATCTTTCTCTTGTGGTGTTCATTTGGCTTCTCTTGTGGATCGCCTTATGATGGTCGTGCAGGCCCTGCCATAAATGGGTATATGTTTTGGATTGAAAGGTTTTGTTGGTGAGCTGGTTTCCTCAGTCTAAGTTTGGCCAATTATTTTGCGATGTTCAATGACAAAACTTATATGGTAATTCCACAAGAAATATTGTCTGATTCTTGTGGAATGTGTTGTTAAACTGCATCAATGACAGTACAGTATCAGTAATGATAATTCACCCAGTAGTACATGGCTTTGAATTCTGGTTGTGGAACCTATATTTGCTGTAACCGTAGGAAATATAACATTTTGAAGGATATGTTCGCTCAAGGACGATATTTTGAGGAATGATCTCATTGTCAGATTGTCCGTTTTGTAATTGAGAAGATATTGAAATAAGATAGCTGGAAAAGGAAAAGGTTGATTATGAGGGTGAACATACTCTCTGTTCTAATCTAGTACAACAGGTCAATACCCCTTGTTTGAAGGTCTCAAAAA